ACTTTCATTTTTATTTTATTTAGTCATTTTATATATTTCTTCAATCTAAAAAGACTGTTAACTGTTAATAACAACAATACCACCAAAGCAAAATCCTAACAGGATCAATCCAATTATCCCTAATTATCACAATCATCAAAACATTAAAGTATTGAACTGTGTCGAAAAATCATAATTAATTGCCTCTAAATGCCTTCCACAACAGTTTTAACTAATTTTCAGATGGAAATGAAAATTGGAAAATATATATGCCTCACAGAGGAGGCTGTTTCAAAAGAAGCGAGCAGAGCACCCTATTCCATATATTTACTATTGCACTTTGTGGCATTTGAGAATCCTCATGAGGCATTCTCTGTTCACTTTGACTGAATGGGCAGAATTTATTTGGGAAAGGTGTTCTGGTAGACACCCAGGCCCATATTATTGCCATAATATTATATGGCAATAATGGCAATGAAAGTACCCTGTACAGTAAATACAAAACTATTGGACTTTGTACCAACAGAAGTTTCTGGGTGGTCTGTAGGGTATTGCTTGTAAACTTCTCCAGGTGAGAGATGAGTTTGGCACATCACCTTCTAGGTAAAATCATAACTTGCATTCTAGTCAAGCTGGGCAAGGCCCTTCTGCCCATAGTCTCTACCAACACTTCTGAAAGGACCCATGAGTCCAAATTGCAACATATTCTCCAGTTCACCTTCCCTACTTTAGGGTTCAAGATGTGTAAAACCAAACTACATGGATCTTAGGATTAGCTCGCCTTCAGGTCTCCATATTGCACACCAAGTCAGCTTCTCGTCCACAGTTTTGTGGTGGATGGTGCTAGATTTATTGAAAATGTATTTGGATGCATACTGAACTTAGAGTTTATGTTTTTTCAAACTCTCTATCCTTGGAATGGGTATCTCCTGCCATATATCTTTCTGTCCACAGCTAATATTATCTTACCTTCTATCTTTGTCCCCTTAGCAAATTGTAAATCAGCTCCCCTTTCACAGGAAATGAAACACCAGACAATTATGCAAAGTGAATTCCACTTCATACTTCCACATGGCAGCTATTCTCAGTTGCAAAACTGCAATCCACTTCTATCTTCTTCAATAGCTTGTTAGAACAGCTGCTTCCTTGCATAGGACCTGCAGTTCTCATCCCCAAACCTCTTTCTTTCTTGCTTCTGTATGGGGCAACTTCATTCTATGTTCTCCCAACAAGCCACAGCCTCTTCAGATCTTGCCTGCCTTCTGAGGTACAGCTCTTTAGTTCTTCCAACTCTCCACCCCGAGCTCAGCTTTCTTCACTAATTGCCTTTTTAGTTGTTTCAATATTACAACGGTTCACTTTAATAGACACTAAGATAATTGTACCACCATTTGGGAAAATAACAAACACCTATTTGCTGCACTTGTAAAGTAAAACATAGAAGGTACAATAATAGGGCTGAAAGAGATGTTAGAGGTCTTCTTGTCCAACTCCTTGCTCAAGGCAGGAAGCCTTACCCCATCCTGGTCAAATGATTGTCCAGTCTATTTTTGAAAACCTCCAGGGAGCACCCACAACTCTAGAAGGCAAGCTATTCCAATGATTAATTGTTCTCTACTTCTAGGTTGGCTTTCTCTTTAACAAGCTTCCACTTATAACTTCTGGTACTTTGGAATGTAAATCAATCCCTTCTTCTCTTTGGCAGCCCTCAAGTACTAGAGACAATTATCATGTTCTCCTAATCCTTCTCTTTGAACAGCTAGAACCGTGGTGGCGAACCTATGGCACGCGTGCCACAGGTGGCACACAGAGCCCTCTCTGAGGGCACATGTGCCATCACCCCAGTCCTAGGCTTTCAACTGGGTTTTATAAAACCTTTTCACTTTACGCCTCCGCCACCGTATGCAAAAAAAAAAAAAAAAAAAAGGTTCAATCAGTCAATTTCTCATGGGGAAAAAAAAGATCTCGTAAAGTTGGAATTGATTGATTGAACTTTTAGTCCCACCTAGTCTGCCGTTACCACCGCAACCACGCCCACCCAATTGGCCACACTCACCCAATGGGCCACATCCACCCAATGGGCCACACCCACCCGGCACCCGACGATACATAAGTGGGTTGCAGTTGGGCACTGGGTCTCTAAAAGGTTCGCCATCACTGAGCTAGAGTGATTAAACAAACACACCTTAGCCACTCTGTTGCCATCTTGTTATCAACCAAATTTTCCTGCAATATTTATTGTGTATCCAGTAAACAAAAGAACAGTAAAATGTGAATGAATTTATAGTTCTAGTCATGCAATCAGTCAAAGGCATGCTGTATGTGGTCAGGGACATGCATATTCTGTGAACAACCTGTACTTTCATTTCTTCAGGGCCTCTAACCTCTTTTCTATAAATCTGTGCTTGAAGGCCGAGGAGAAATTTTGGGTCTTTTCTGTCATGTGTGCAAATATTTCTTCTGTTTTTCCTCCCAAAGGCAGAATTGTACTGTTATAATTGAAAGCAGAGGTCTATGCGAACATTATTGTACAAAGGAAAGGGTTAGGACCGCTCTGAATTTTTAAAATTTCTTGGAAGATCTCTGTTAAAACTCTTCTTAACCCAGCTGGAAAAGTTTGTTTTTTTAAAAAAAACTCCAGTACTTTAAAGTTTTATGGAGGAAAAAAGTCCTTTGCATTTCATCTGTGGTTACATTTCATATTGGTTTTGCAATTGGGTTGAAAAGATCAGGATTCAGTTTCTTTGTAACAGAGGAATATATATACTTTTGTGACCTCTTTTCTTGAAAAAAAATGTAATATGGTGAAGACGCCCTCTGGTGGAGAGAAAAAGGCATTTCTATTGATGTAACATGTGATCTATGTCCAGTTGCCCTATAAAAACTGACTTGCTTGTATTCAAAATTAGTATTTGTTAAATAAGTAACAGTTTTCTAAGAGCAAAATCTTGATCCAGTCAAAATAATTGAGATAGATATAATATGAACTGCATTAAGAATATTTTGTAGTGTTTAATCCGTAAATAGGAAATCAAGATAGAATTAAATAGTTATTCTCTGCTTCTTCTTCTCTAGAATTACATAGTTTCTATTAAAGGGCCCAGAGTGCAGCTATGTATATATTCTATGTAAGGCAGGCAGTGCCTTACATAGGCCCCAATGACCATCATATTACTAGATTCATACTATATCTGTACTATAAAAATAAACACTTGGATTTTTGCTGATTTTTAAGACAAGGAACTCCGTTTACTTTTCTGCCCAAGATTCCTCTTGCTCTTCAGAATTTCACTTGAAATCGGTAGGATAATGATCATGAAAAGTATAAATTATTTTGTTCTTCAATGCATATCCATAGTCCAACATTCCACTCATAGATTGAGGTTTCAGGTGGCTTAAAAGGACTGCTAATTATTTTTTTCTTCAGATAAGATGTTAGTGGTAGAGAATAACAAGTAAAAACATTTTATATCAATTGTCCTATATCAGTAACAGGACAGTCTAATTAATATTGAATTAATTATACAAAAAGATTTTATCTCAAGTCTGTGGTAAGAGGAGAAGAGTACAAAATAAAAAGAAATCTAATATATTCTCCTTCTCTTCCTCCTCCATCCTTATCATATCCATATTGGTATCCAGAGAGTCTACTTTCATTATAGGAGCTACTAATTTCTTTCCTGGTTTCTCTAGGGGGTATCCTAATATAAAGAAATCGCTTTGAGGAATAGAATTTGTAGGATTGTGCATCTATTTTTAGGTATAATTGGGAGAATGGAGTGGATTGGTGATCTCTGTGCACATCTGTGTACAATTGCACTGGGGGCTCATTTTAATTCAGTCCATGTTTACTGAAGAAAAATACATTATACCACTGTATTTATTGATAGTGGTGGTTTCACATTTTAGGTGCAAAATATCTTGCATGAATGATATGTGTGGAATATGAAAGATCTACTCATTTAAATATACACAATGACCAGGAGCTGAAATCTAATATCCATTAAGTGCAATGACAGCCACAATTCATCTGTAATGTCAGCTGCACAAAAAAAGCTAGCAAGAAAATCCTGAACTAAACTGATAAAGATATGATTGTGCTACTATAATGGTTAGTCAGTGTTGCTCCAATATATTATTACCTTCACTATATTACTCTGGATAAATTATACTTATCTCACAAACCACAGCTGAGTTCACATGGCATACAGTAATGCTTTGGGTGATGTGTAAACATAGCCAATATGTGGTGGAAAATAAAAATACTTTCTAGTATTAAAAAAAATAATTTGACCTACTTCAGACATCATGCTAGTGAAGCTTCCTTAGATATGATTTCTTGAATAAATCATGATTGCCTGAGTTCACACAATGTTTGCCACAAATCATGTTTCATTAATTACAGTGCCTAGCTGCATAAAGCATGTTAACTCATAGGCAGACAAACCACATTGTGGTTTAATGTGATATAAGAACTCAAGTCTATGAATGTGCAATCAGCATAGTTTATTGAGCTGTGATATTGTATGCTCACTGAAATTTGTTCAAACACATTAGTAACACTTTCTGAACTGTGAAATAGCTTTCCTGCTTCTTCTATTCACCATTGACCTATTGTACAATGGTACAATGGAAACTGTACATTCATGTTTCCCTGCCCTTATCTGCCTTAAGGATGAGAATACTTGACTATGAATCTTTATGTACATTTAAACATTCTCCATTAAATTATATGTTGATGTGAGAGCTAATTTTAATATAAAGCAATGTCACTATGATTTCTGCATACTTCACATTATGTCAATTGCAATGAAAGAATGATTTCTGCAAAAATATTATTTCATTAGAAACTGAATAGTCTCTGATTTCTAATAAAGCTTGTGAGGTTTTTCTTTAAGGGATAAATGTATTTATGGCTATTTAACATATAAAATAGACAAGAATATCTATTTAAGGTCCAAAACTTTTAATGTCCATTCAAAAGTATTCTAAAGCTATATCTGGGCATTTTACTAAATAGAATTTTCATCTCATTTATGAGAGGAACTCTACCATTTTCTGACAAACACATTTGTAGCCTATATTCTTTTTTTTTTTTTCTTTCTGTTGTGCTTTTAGGTTATCATGGTCTTTACTGTGAGGAGGAATATAATGAGTGTCTTTCAGCCCCTTGTCAGAATGGAGCTACCTGCCGAGACCTTGTCAATAGCTATGACTGTGTATGTCTTCCTGAGTATGAAGGTGAGCAATGTTATATTTTAGTAGAAACAGATTTATAGATTACTGTAAATCGCCTAATAAATATATGTGCATAATTTAAATATCACCATTCGCCAGATAAATCTTTTTGTGAACATTTCAGACTCTAGTACTAAACAGATTTGGATGGAATAGCATTTTCCCCTTAGACTATTATACTAGTGGCCTAAATTAACAATGGTAAATTGATAATTGTGTCGACTTTGGAACACAATTAATGAAATTTTCTGATTAGGACAAAGATTGCTCTTTGACCTAAAAAGAAAATCATTTCAAATGGAGAGTAGCAATTGAATGTGCAAATAGAAGCAGTTTGTTATTCAGTTTGTCATTATAGTTTTTAAAAATGAATAGATAAATGTGTATATATCTAGTTGAGCAGTCTATGTGCATATATTATGTTTGCCACAAAAAATAAAGGAAAAAAACAAAGACTTTTGAAAGCTGATCAAAAAGAGCAAGGAAATACTAAATAATTTTTCATCTGTTATTCTCAGGAAAACACTGTGAATTATACAAAGATCCTTGTGTAAACATCAGCTGTCAGAATGGTGGGACTTGTGACAGTGAAGGGCTAAATGCTACCTGTATCTGTGCACCTGGATTTACAGGTACAGTTTTTGAAAATTGCACAATATGCAGAGATAATTATAAAAATGCAGGAGTAAAGTAAATGTAAAATATATTAATTTGCACCTGCACTATTTATTATTCCAACAAATTGGTAGGCAGTTTAGATAACTACCTTATTCTGAACTAAAAGAAACATAGTAATAACCATATTCATGATGTTTTTATTCATATGGTAGAAAGTATATGAAAGTGAGAAGATCTTCCATAAAGGGAACTCAATTAAGGATGCCATTTACAACTGTATCCTTTTATTTATTTATGCTAACTGATTCTTTAATTTCTTTCTGATTGTTTGGCATATTTACTGCTTCACAATTCTGGGTTGATTCAGATTTGGGTAAGGTTTTTTTTTGTATAAGGGGAAAGGATAGTACTTTGGCACATGTTTCAAAGTACAGGTAGTCCTCAACTTACAAGCATTTGTTTAGTGATTGCTCAAAGTTACAGTGTCACTGAAGAAAGTGGCTTACAACTTAACATCAGAAATTCTGGCGCCAGTTTGAGTCGTAAGTTGAGAACTACCTGTATCAAAAATATAAGGAATCCAACCACAAGATTTCTACTACCATGTCTGTTTTGGTCCTTTAAAACATCATCCTTGAAACTCGAGTTTTACAGAGAAACTTACTAAACCTAACAGTCCTGTGGTGACTAGACGTTATAGGACAGTGATGGCGAACCTTTTAGAGACCGAGTGCCCAAACTGCAACCCAAAACCCACTTATGCATCGTCGGATGCCGGGTGGATGTGGCCCATTGGGTGGGTGTGGCCCATTGGATGGGCGTGGCTGCAGTAGTAACAGCAGACTGGGTGGGACTAAAAAGTTCAATCAATCAATTCCAACTTTGCAAGATTTTTTTTTCCTGAGAAGTTGAAATTGACTGATGGATTGAACCTTTTTTTTTGTACACAGAGGCAGAGGCCTAAAGCAAAAAGGTTTTATAAAACCCAGCTGAAGGCCTAGGACTGGGGCGACGGCTCTGAGTGCCACCTCTGGCACCCGTGCCATAGGTTCACCACCACTGTTATAGGAAATGCAACCAATACAACTGAACAACACCATTCTGGGAAAAATGTTTCAGAAATTAATTTTCTAGAATAAATCTTTCTACTTCAGAATTCTTTTGAGCAAATTCTGTTGAAACAGACATTTTCAAAAGAAACTTTGTTCTGATTACAGTAATCTTAATTCATTCCAGCTTTTTTTTAGAAGTTTGATTGCTTTGCTGTGCATATTTTTGGCTTTCTTGTCATTGTTATTGTTTTAATCTCCTATGCAACCCTGGGGATATCTTGGACTGTTGTTTTGGAAGCCAATAATATGAAATGAAGGTGATAGCTGACAAAAAGAAGAATACAGGTGAAATTGCTTCCAACAAGAAATAGATATACAAATTGAAATGATATAGAAAGATATAGATATAGAAGGAGATCATGTATACTATTTTACTTCTACAGTTGCAATAGAAAACTGTCTTTCTTACCTGTTTTAAGGTGAAGAATGTGACATCAACATAAATGACTGTGAGAGTAACCCTTGTCGCCATGGAGGACTGTGCATAGACCAATCTAATGGATATAGTTGCCATTGTCCACGTGGATGGGTTGGTGCAAACTGTGAAATACGTAAGTGTATTTATTACTACTCATAGTACATTGAACCACAGAAATATTGTTTTTATGCAACATATTTATTTTAGTATTTAATCAAATAGAGTTAGCAGAAGTAATAATAATGTCATAGCAAGAAACTCTGCACAGTATGTCTTCCATAATACCATAACTACTTCTTTACAGACTTCATGTCTGAATGTAGTTGAAATTCCTGAAGATTTGGAAAAGGCTTTCCTACAAAATTATAATTCCAGACATTTAATGCAGTTTTTTTAAATAATAGTAAGTAGCAAATACTTACAAGAAAGCATGTGTGGATCATGACAATGTTGGAATAGTCTGTCTAATCTAATTTATGTTAAGCTTCCAGGAACCACTGCTAGAAATATCCTGGGAATGCATATTTTATTGTCTGCCCAGCTTTTTAATAGCTGAGATTGGCTTTTTATTCCATGCATATGGAAAAACTATAAAGTGATACCCTTTTAGAGTTGTGTCTGCTTTTATGGATTTCTTTTTAATTTTATTTATTCATAGGATATTATAAATGGGAGATGTAGTGTTGGTATATAAACTATAGGTAGTTTGCAAGTGACTTCAATTAAATCAGTTCATCAATTAACAATTAAAGCAAAATTGTCCTGTAAATTGCTTAGACATTTTAGTATGTGTTGAAAAGCACCCACTCTTGCTGAGATTTAAAAGAACCACATAACTTTTTATGAGATGATATTAAATTAAAAAATAGAATCTTTTCCAGTTTTTTTGCTTATGATTTATACAAAGAAACTAATCCACTTGTGATTTTCATCACACAATTATGGCACATATTTTCAGATCTATATACTATTAAAATTCTAATACCTGTTTATTTGTAACCTTCAATTGGTTAAAATTGGGTATGGGGCATGGGTCCTGGCATTCTGCAAGTTAGCCTCCACAGGTCATGTATGGTGCATTTGGACATTCTCTTATGCATGTCTCCTTTACAACCTGCTTTCTACCATTTGGGAGTGATGTCTAGTTTTCAAGAGAAGGAAAACATAAAAGTTAATGTAAATAAAAAGAGATAAGAATTGTGCTGTTGGCTATAGATTTTATAATGAATACCTGAATGTTCAGATGAACTGAATAGAAATAGCTCATCTTTTCCCATATTACCCTGTTGATAAATAGAACAAATGAATTAAGTACCTCATCCTCAATCCATGTTTACTACTGGGTATGGTATGAAAAGCTTGAGGAACTCTCTTGTTCATAAAATTCATTCTTCCATGCTGCTGTGTTCTAAGAAATGACATGTAGTAGTCGTTCATCTTCACATCATCAGTTCTGTGGCTGATGATGTGCATTATTTATTTTTGAGTATGTTTGAACCAAAGAATAAACCAATATTCTACATATGTTTTTCCTAACTCACCTGGATTTAACAGGTAAAAGGCCATTAATTCCTCCATAGTGTGATTAATATGGGAAGGCTTAGAAAAAATATATTTGTAGTAGTGTAGTATTTATATTAGGTTTTGTTAGCATCTGGGGCATAGTTAAGGTTGTTTTTTTATTTCTAATGTATGTTTTGTTATGAGCCTGGAAACTATCCAAGGGTGAATGACAATTTATTTCAGTGATAGACAATAGGCTGACTGACAGCTGGATTTAATATCCTGAGTCATAAAATAATCCTTGAAAAATGCATTCTATGCAGTGCTTCAGTATTATGCATTGTAATGACAATATTAGGCAACTTGTAAGAAAGGGATAGATTGCTGGGACCATATGCCTTTATTGCCTATTGAAGCTGATCTTCTCTAATAGCAAACAGTTCAAAACCTTAGTTTAATCCAATATTTAAAAAACTTCACAAGTTTAATATAGATAACAAATAACAGTGAGATGTAGCCCAAAAGGGAACATTACTTTATTTGAGCTACTCTTCGACCTATCAGATTCATTCCTGGCAGATAAGAAAGAACAAGAAATGCAAATACAGTATTAATTGGAAAGTAGTCTGAATGGATACCAAATCCAATAATTGTCTTGGGCCAAAGGTCACTTTTAAACTTGTGTGGACAAACCATACACGTACACGTTTGCAGGAGAAGCTGTTTCAGTGATACTGAAATCATGATGTGAGAAATTGTCCACTTTATTTAGGAATAACCAAGTAAAGGTGGACAAAGTCGGTGTTTCAGTGGCAGAGGAGGCAAAAGAATATGCATTTCGTAATACAAATAGTCCTTGACTTTAACAAACATTCAGAGTTATAATGGCACTGAAAATATGACTTACAACCAGTTCTATAATGGGTAATGTAGCATCCCCATGGATAGATGTTCCTAGTTCAGGCACTTGGCAACCAGTGTGTATTTACAATGGTTGCAGCATCCCAGGATCATGAAATCTCCATTTGCGACATTCTTAGCCAGTTTCCAACAAGCAAAGTCAATGGGGGAAGCTGGAGTCATTTAATGACTGCAATTCACTTAACAACTGCAGTGATTTGCTTGTGGCAAAAGAGGACATAAAATTGGGTGTGATTCACTTAACAATTGCTTAGCAATTCTGATTCCAATTGTGGTCCTAAATTAAGGACTACCTGTAGTTCTTGCTAGCTTTGTAGACCTGTATGCAGATTAGAATGCCTTCAAAAGAAGGAGCAGAGAGTAAAGTGAAATGTGCTTTTTGTGCCATAAGGAAATGGAAGTGCTATTAATACCATAATTGTTCCTTTTCACTCTTCTAGATCTACAATGGAAATCAGGGCATGTGGCTGAGAGTCTGACAAATATGCCTCGGCATTCTCTGTATATCATTATTGGAGCCCTGTGTGTTGCATTTGTCCTGATGTTGATCATTCTCATTGTGGGGATCTGTCGCATCAGTCGTATTGAATACCAAGGTTCATCTAGGCCGGCCTATGAAGAATTCTACAACTGCAGGAGCATTGACAGTGATTTCAGTAGTGCTATTGCTTCTATCCGACATGCCAGGTATGCTTGGGGGAAACAAAATCCCCTTTTTGACAAAACAGCAAGTTAGGTGGGAAACCAGTTCATGCTGTAAGAAACAGCCTCAATGATAGAGTGCTTCTGCACACAAACATTTTGAGGGATGAAAAAAAAGTATGTTAGTGAATAAGCCTATACTACTGTCTGTAGTCTGAGTTCTGTCTATCTGCCTTTGGCTTATACAAGCTTTTTAATATATAATCTATCTTCTGCAATTTGGGAGCCACATCACATGATATGCAGGTCATTTGTGATTGGTTAATATTATTTTCCTAATGCATATACACTCAGGAACAAAATATTATTTTCCTAATGTATACACATTCAGGCACAAACATATTCATATGGCCAAGCAGTAGTTAAATAAAAAAAATATAACCATTAAATCACTATAGAGTAACATTTTATTCCTATATATCTTTAATATACAAGCCTAGGTTATAAACCTCAGCCTAATGAAATTAGTCTGTTTCCAGCTTGGTTGACTCTACCTGAGATTACTCACTTTCAAGCTACTAGGTGGGCAGGATCTGGAGTGAATGACAGGAGCTCATCCCATCACATAGCACCACTTGAGTCTTGAATACAGGTTTGCTGATTGTCAGTTCTAACCATGTGAGCCCCTACATTCCACTTGCCTAAGGTAGAACTAGAATTTATGGATGCCTGATGCCTTAACCGCTAAGCAAAACTGTATGTGTGTGTGTGTGTGTATGTGGTTAGGAGAAGTACAAAATTTATATATATTGGAGGTATTTTTTTTCAAAGCGTGATTTTTAGAATCTCACCCTGCCAGGAAGATAGATGTTTTTATCTGTGTTACTCCACTATGACTTCTGTCTCCACTTACTTTTTTTGAATTTTAGATTTGGAAAGAAATCTCGCCCTGCAATGTATGATGCAACTCCAATTGCTTATGAAGATTACAGCCCTGATGACAAGCCTCTGGTTACACTGATTAAAACAAAAGATTTGTAATCTATTTAACAGTCGTTTTGGGGGAGGGGATTATTTTTCAAAAGGATGGGCTACTGAATTAATTCAATATTTTTAAGATGAAGCAAGTGTATGAAAATTAAAATGTTTAGCTGCTCCAGAATTTTCTGTAGATTATTTAAGAACAGGTTTTTCTGCAGCTTTTTGTTTGAAGGGAATATTTTAAACTGAATTTGTGAAATTTATTCTTTCTCTTTTACTGTACTTCAGCATTAGAAACTCTAATCTTAACAGTAGTGTGTTGTTGCTTTTACCAATCTCAGATGAGTACAGGCAGAGTATGATATGTTAAGCAATGAAAATTTCTCCTTAATGTAACAGTGGCAGCATTCTTAGTAGACTTAGGAAAAATGTAAAACTTGATATATTCATTATTGAAAAATGAAGTCCGAAATGTTTGTGTTTGTGAAAAGGAATTTAGTAAAAATTATTATTCTTAAACTGAATGAATTAGCTTTCTCCCTCTTTTGTGCATGGATAATCTTTCTGTATTATGTTCCTGAAACCTGCTAAAATTTGGCCTTGAGTTGGTGTTTGTCATTTTTGTAATGATATTCAAGATAAGCATTGTAAAAATAATCTATCATTGAAGTGCCTATTAAGGCAAAAAAGGGGTTGTTCCTGTTGCTTTGAAATTAATTACAGTTGATTTCATAATGCTGAGGATTAGATCTTTGAATTGGAATTATATTTTCTTTAAAAAGTCCAGGTTTTTTTAATAGTGCGAGTAAACAAAACATAATTTGAACAGTTTGTCTCTCAAATGTTAACGTAAATTACAATATGATGTAATTCTCATACTGCATCTTAATTTACACATGTGGGATTTTTGTGGCTCTATTTGACTGCTTATCTGTTTCAAGATTTTTGCTCATTTCAAAGAATATTGAATAAATGTGACCAATTCAAGTGGCAGCTCATTTTGTTTTACTGTTATGATTAGTGAGTGCCCTTGAATGTAAGCCATATGCCTTATAATTATAATGTAAACCAGTCATGATGTCTTCAGAACCAGTACTATTTTATTTACATATTTTGAACATTTTCATATGTAATATATTTTTGGTTTATATAGTGTGGAGTTGGCTCATATTGTTTGTAATATGAGAAACTGCCATTTAGCACAAGTGTGGATTTTGAACACAATATAATCATGTGACAGGGACTGTTTTCCTTCATGTCAAAACAAGACCTCCAGATGCACAACTTTCATTTTCTGCTATATTTTTCTTCTCTTTCTTTCTACATACATATTTCCTGCTGAATTGTGTTTTTTTCTGTGTTTCAAAATATTTAATGTATAATAGTTAAGTATGCCCAAGGTAGTTACATTTTATTAAGGTGGGAAGGTCTTTGAGTAATTGTCATCTACCCATTATTTTTGGATATCTAAAATATTCAGGATGAATGGACCAGATGCCCAGAATGTAGTGGTTGTTATAGAGAGCAGTACCTTCTTGGTATGTTTAATTTTATAGATAAGATGAGTTGAAAGCACTTGGAGGGCATTGCATTAGGGATAGAACAGTGGTAAAAGACAAAAGTTTACATCTCAGAGGAAGATCAAGAGCAGTAGGGAGAGAAAGTAAAGCCAGCAGGAAGGAGAGAGATAGTAATTGAATATAAATAATCAAAGATTCTCGTCTCTATGTATTGATTAATACAGGATAATCCATAGGATGTTGTTTCACTAGCATCCTCACCTTATTTCTCAGTTGCAGCTGAAGTGGGACTATAAGTGGAATACAAATATATTGTATTTTTAGTAAAATAATTGCAGAGAGTCATGGTCAGAGACATCTGCTGGAATCCTAAGTAGACAACTGCCAACTGAAGTAGACAGCATGGATCAGATGGAACAGTTTTAGGACATAATTATACCAATATATCATTTCTAAAAGCTACATAACAATTCCAAATGTCATTTCTGTATCATTATCACTCTGTTGTGGAGGTGAAGAAAACTGCTACTCAGTATGTTCATGGCTGTGATTTGTGTTACTCGAAAGCCTCAAGCAATGTACATATGTATATCAATGGCTAGCAGGAAGCATTGGTATACTATATTAGTAAGTAAAATTTAAATTTTCTGAGAATATGAAAGTAATTTTCCCATATTTTGGTTTGTGCAATATTTTTGTTTGTTAATTGTTAGATTTTAATATACACCAAATACCATGATTTTAATGGTTTATAATTTACAAATGGTTTATAGAACTGAATACGGGGTTTGGAACATAAATAAATATCTCATGAGCCATGTTCAGTAGAGAAGAGATTTTAATTCTTAATTCCTTTCCTTGCAAGGAATCTTTGCTTTTTAATTAAGTATAATTTATAATTTTAAATATAATTTTCATTTATTACTTTATCCCCAAGGCATCTCCAGTCTTTAAAATACCTCTTAAGTTTTGCTTGTCTGAGAACTGTGATCTACAATATGTTAGTGACAACCTTAAATATAATATACAAATCTGAGTGGGAATTCATTTGCTGCTCTTTCATAGTTTTCAGTTCTCATTTAATTCTTTTTCCTAACATAATGGAACCTTTCTTCATGCTACATTTAGAGCATTGATTTTTGGTCGTATGGCTATCTTATTGCTTCATTAACAGGCTTTGGATATTTGCAAAGAGGATAAGCACACGAGACATCCGTCTTTGAAAATTTAAAAACATAGAAGCACATACTATCTATTCTACAACTGGTCTAAAAGTATCAGAAGATGTCTTTATATATTTGTTCTCTTGTCTGGGATGGTCAACAACTATATTATCACCTGATAAATACACTTTCTATTCCTTTGAATTTCATGCACGTTGTTAAAATCTTTGCAGAAAATCCAGAACTTTTCTTTAACATTTCTGTTATACCTGATAAAATGAAGCTGATTATTGTTTGGTTTGGTTTGGTTTAGCTTAGGTTTTTCTTTTAATTCACTTACATACTGGATCAAATGGGAGAAATATTAAAATGTTATGGGAACACCCACAAGGGATTAAATTTAGCTCCAAAGACTCATTAATGTAAAACTAACTTTACTCAATTTAGATTCATTTTTGAAAGTGTTCCAAGAAAAAAGTTATAGAGAAAGAAGAAGCAAGCCTCTCTATTCTAGAACTCATAGTTGAGTCCTGACTATCCAAAGCATATCTCTGAAATTTGAATGGCTGCCATGGTTCAACCAAGTCTGACATGAAGAATATGCACACACAAATCAATATTATTTAGAAATATTTTCAAAACTAGCAGTTAAAAATAAGTTCTGACTGATTTGTGGATAGTAAGAATATATAAGGGAGGTAGCTAAAAATGCATAATTGAAAAATTAGTCTTAAAATATACTGGAAAAAGAGATGAGATGGAACAAAGTGATACAAATACAACAATCATGAATATATAAAATATTGATTTCTTTCTTCAGCTTCCCCAATTTATTCCCACATCCAAAAGTCTCCAATTTGAGGAAGGACCAGTTAATTCCTTAATGCAATAAAGGTAGCCTTTGCTTAAAGATCATTCATTCAGCAACCACTCAATGTTATGATGGCATTGAGCAAATGGTATTTAAGCCTGGTGCCTGAAGTTACAGCTGCTACAGTGTCACTGTGATCATGTGATTAAAATTCAATTGCCTGGCAGCCCCACCCACACTTATGACCACAGGGTGCTTCAGCTCCTCTCACCCACTTTGCTCTCCCCTATCTCTTCCCTTTTGGCCAACCTTCACAGTGGCTCTCCTTGGGGTAAGGGCAATGCTGAGGCCAACATAGAGGTTCTGAAGCCTTCTAAAATCTTGTGAGAAGGATTCCTCCACAATTCTCCAAATCACATGTATGGTTCTTGTTTTCTGAAGGTCTTTCTAAATCATCTCAAGGACACCATATGCAATTTGGGGGAGGCTTCTTGCTTGGTTTCAGAATATAATTTTATACCTTGCCCCAAGAGGAAGGGTGCTTCCTAAGAAATGCTATTGTTTCTCAGCTCCTTCACTGTGAACAATTTTGCAGATTCAACAAGCTTCAGTTAAACACATTAAGGCTTCATGCAATGTGTAAATCTATCCACAGAGAGATTGAGCATAACTCTAGGAAAATGAGTTACCAGATATAGTAAAATCTATTTGCCTGTTGACACTGCCATCTGCGCGCTTCTAATATTCATACCACATGATAGCTTTTCAATTTCCCTTCTGTTATATGTGAGATGCAGCCAACAAGCACTAATCATATAACAGAAGCATTTTTCCCAAAATTATTTTACTCATATGGTGCAGCATCCTCTATCTTTAGCACCTTTATTTATACATTTTAATATTTGAATGGAAAATATTTAAACTGTACATGCAAAATTAGCTATACCTTGTGGACTCTATGTCATGAAATAAGTAAAGAGCAAGTAAAATGCTTTATTAGAAACTTATAATTTGATTAAAATACAGTTCTAATTGTCGGGAAGACTACAGTTTGACATTCTTTTCAGTTTTTCCAATATGCATTCTAAATTTAATTTATTGATATTAGCAGTAATGAAGAAATTATAAAAGATGAGCAAATATATTTCAGTAGTATAGTACCTTTCTGCTGCACAAGCCCTCACAAAACCTGGATGGTTATAAAGAAAGATTTTTGTGCAATTTATGAATTGCAAAGCTTGCCTGTTTTGTTTCCATCACCAAATATATATGCTTAATTTTTGAGCAAAGAACATTATTACATTATTTGGTACCTGCATCTGGATGATGTACTCCCAATGGTTTGAAAGGTTCTTATTCTTTTAGTAAGTGCAAAATTTAAACTCTGTAGTGAGTTAGCTGTTACGAGATGCAGATTATCTTTTAGTCAGAAATGCCTTCCAGCTGTTGCAGCCACTTTGCTTACAATAAGATTTCACTGGTCACCGAGTTTTAAAGGGTTTTCTTGGAGATAGATTGGTTCAGATAATACATATTGCAATGTTTTAAATGAAACTTTGTATAATTTTCTGCTTCAAATTGGTAAAGGTGTCAGCTATTGAAATCTCAATTATTATGAAAAAAATATTTTGCAGTTACGATTGAGTTCAGAGATGTATAGTGCCTACCAGCTAAGGATCTATTTTATTAACAATTAATACTTAATTATTATAGCTCTGTTCAAAGTATTTTGGAGCAACAAAATTGCTTTCTCTGGATGAAATTAGCTCTGGTGATGGAGGCAGCATACCAAATAATCATACAATAATTAAATAATAGTAATTAATCCAATCATTGAATTGGATTCAGTGGGTTTATGTTTAAATAAAAGAGGATAAGATTGTGATCAAATAATTAATATAATCATATTTATGGGAAACAGGATAGATCTCAGTGAAGCACAGTAGACATTAATATTTGCCAAATTAGTGGCAAAATATGGTTTTCTAGAAAACAATTTGCATTGTTGCAAGAATGTATAGATCTAGAGATAAGTTGAAAGCATCACAAAAGAAAGCAAGAAAACATCTAGGACTAAGGTTTGAGAAGGTGGACTGATGTAGGAAAAGAGTGGAGGGCCATGGGAGAGCTAAGGAGACCTGTGAAACAAACCAAAGCAGAGTAAAAACTGGAAAGGATGTGCATGTATACATATACTTTGCATGAGGAAATGAGAGTGAGTGAGGTAATGAAGGTTGATGAGAGATGCTGAAAGAAAATGAATGATTGGCTTGAATGAAACTTGTATGCTGGCAGTAAGGAATGAGAGGATTAGAAATATTCCAAACGAAAGATGTAATTATGCAATCACAGGAGTGTCTTGTAATTTGAACTTTGCGTATTTTTAGACTTATCATTTTTGCCCTCTTGGAAATGGGTCCTCTAATCATGGGGACTATGCTGTTTCTAAAAATTCTGTGCCCTAGCCCCCCAAATTAGAGTCCTTCATCACAGCCTTCT